TATATAATGATAGTAAGGTACGACTTTATATCATACCCATGGTGATGCGTACAACAGCAGCACCACCAACAACAATAACAACAATAACAACAACAACAACAACAACAACAACAACAACAACAACAACAACAACAACAACAACAACAACAACAACAACAACAACAATAACAACAACAACGACAACAACAACAACAACAAAAACAATAACAGCAACAACAACAACAACAACAACAACAACAACAACAACAGTGGGAACCAAACACATGGACACCTGCTTTTGCTACAGCGCGGTGACACGTGATCCATTCGCGTACACTACGTGGCAGTGAAGTCTCTATAACGATACATTGGATTTTTCTGCAGCTTCACAGCTACAACGATATCGCTTTCACAGGGCGTCGCTGTCCACGGTCATACGCAATCTTGCACATGGAGCGTCACCAGAGATTTTGTCACCAGAGTAGATACCACCAGAGAATGCGTCACCAGAGACAGTGCGACTAGTGTAGACAGTGTAGACAGTGTCGCCAAAGCTTACATCACCAGATACAACGGTTAGCAGAGAATGGGTCATCACGCAGAAATTTTTACTGCATATAGAAGAACAATGCAAGTTTTAGAGACGATGGAGGAATACATGTAAACTAACATTCAAACGCTGCAAACGCTACGATCTGGCGAGATAAATGCATGTTAAGCTAGGTGATCACAGGTGCTTAGAACACAGAAGCTTAGAGGGAAGCAGGGGCGGATCCAGGGCTGAAGCTAGACAGTATTTTTCCAGATTTTAAGGGCACATCCCCCAAAAAGGCCACACCACCCTACAGTGGGCACCGTCAGGCGCGGAAGCACATGGCGGGGGGTCTAGGGGGCCTCCCCCAGGAAATTTCAAAATTTTAAGGGTCCCTGGGCACAAAAATGAGCACCATTGAGCACACATATAGTCAAGCAGCAATAGCTAAAAACCATATGGAATTTTATTTCTGATTCATTTTGCCTGCGCTTTGCATACCAGCAATTAATGCAGAATGATTCAAGCACTTCCCTTCTTTTTCAGATATCAAAGCTAGTTTTGTTACCATGTAAAATTTTGATTTCCTTCAAGTCCTGTCAATGAATCAGACGAAAAAGAAAACAAATAAAGAATATAGCCAAATTCCATCAAATCGTTTTCTGTATTTTTTAGCGCAAAATTTCGAAAGGCACTTTGAAATCTAGACCGTATTTCCCAATACGGCAAATACGGTCTGAATCCGCCCCTGGGAAGTTGGTGAAGTGAATATAGTAATACGGACTTTTAAGATCTTTGGCTCACAGTCGCGTGTTGAACCCTGCGTTGTGCCAGTTATCGTCCTCGTGAACGGAGTTCCCAGCGTGAAATTTATACACGTCGTCGCTGTGTGTCTGTTGCTCGTTCTCGACTAAACTCACTATCAAAATACCCGTCTTAATTTTACGTAGATACAGCAAGGCGCATAACATGACAACACACAGCATGCAGCTGCCGCCCATGAAGTAGGAGGACAGTGCTGTGTCTTTTGTCATATCCAACAGCCCACCTGCGAGATGAAAAAAAACATACCGATAAATGACGGTTATCATTTACTATATTCTGTTTGTACTATAATCTGACAAACGTTTCGCTAATATAAATGAAGGTGTAGTACATTGTTCTGATTATAATTAATATTTTGCCCGAAGACAGTGCCTGCTAGCACCGCAAAATCATCATTTATTAAATACTAGCGGGATACCCAGCGTTGCCCGGAGAAATAGTGGCGTTACTCAGTTGGTGACCGCTTGGTTGAAAGGAAAATACCCCAAAAATCTAACTATCTATCTATCCATGCATGCATGCATCCATCCATCCATCTATTCATCCCATTTCATGCCATCCCATCCCATCCCATCGCATCGCATCCCATCCCATATCCCATCCCATCCCATCCCATCCCATCCCATCCCATCCCAT